TTTTAAAAAAAAAAAAAAAAAAAAAAGTATGGGAATAATATATAAAGAACATTTTGAGTGATGTAGAACTGAAACATAATATAAGGTTATTACGAAGATACCTCAAAGTATGCACGAAGACAGTACAGCTGGGGTATTGACCGGCACGCAGGGGAGGTCGATGTGTGGCATACTGTCTGAGTGCATACTTTGAGGTATCTTCGTAGTAACCTAATTATTATATATCTTTTCCTACCAAGGATACATCATGGGAATGCCGAAATCTAAAAAGTTTAGAACAGAATCAGCGAACTTCTTTGTATGGAGTTCAGTCAAACCCTGGTGGCAGCCATGTTTGTTTTTATTATTAGAGCATGCTTACGTGCGTAATCATTCAATATTTGGAATTCACACTTCCTAATATGATAGGATGAAAATACCCCGTAAAATACCGCACGCTGTAACTTATGGTGTTGCGGTGACAGATGTATAATAATTGTGTATATCCGATGCATTTCAACTTAGCTATCAGTGAAATAAGCCAAAATGCAATACATTTTGTTAAAACCTTGACTGTATATGCTAGATACTGAATACCATCAGTTAGTTAGATCATGGTTGATATGTGTCACATGTAGGCAGCCAGTCATATCCAAAGCATTTGAATTACAATTACCTGTTGGGGGTGGCAAAGGATCTAATAAGGTAAGAATAGCATGTATTTGTGTATAAGGGTATCAGGTGAGCTTCAAGATATGAATGGGTAATAGATTTTATGTACATGATTAAACCAATTGTTACAGAGCTTGTAACCAATAGTTACAGAGCTATCGATTCAAAATCTGTAATAGATTTGATGTACAGGGTCATATACATTAAATTGTGAACAATTATAGATGATGGATGTCACATAGTAGATTGTTCTATATTAACAAACTTTCCACATTGTAACAGTTCAAGATAATACATATTGTAGTATTGTAATCAGTTAAAGATAATATATGTATATAGTAACTCATTCAAGATATTGGATGTTACATAGTAACTCATTCAAGATATTGGATGTTACATAGTAACTCATTCAAGATATTGGATGTTACATACCGGTAGTAACTCATTCAAGATATTGGATGTTACACAGTAACTCATTCAAGATATTGGATGTTACATAGTAACTCATTCAAGATATTGGATGTTACATAGTAACCCATTCAAGATATTAGATGTTACATAGTAACTCATTCAAGATATTGGATGTTACATAGTAACTCATTCAAAATATTGGATGTTACATAGTAACTCATTCAAGATATTGGATGTTACATAGTAACTCATTCAAGATATTGGATGTTACATAGTAACTCATTCAAGATATTGGATGTTACATAGTAACTCATTCAAAATATTGGATGTTACATAGTAACTCATTCAAGATATTGGATGTTACATAGTATTAAACTCATTCAAAATATTGGATGTTACATAGTAACTCATTCAAAATATTGGATGTTACATAGTAACTCATTCAAGATATTGGATGTTACATAGTAACTCATTCAAGATATTGGATGTTACATAGCAACTCATTCAAGATATTGTATGTTACATAGTAACTCATTCATGATATTGGATGTTACATAGTAACTCATTCAAGATATTGAATGTTACATAGTAACTCATTCAAGATATTGAATGTTACATAGTAACTCATTCAAGATATTGGATGTTACATAGTAACTCATTCAAGATATTGGATGTTACATAGTAACTCATTCAAGACAATACATGATGCATAGTATTGTATATACCAGTAATATAAGGTTATTAACAAAAAATCTGAATTTATGTTGGAGTACATTGTACAGCAAAGGTATTGTCCGAGACACATATTATTGAATATTGATATTGGGAAGAAGTTATTGTATTCTAAAACTCCATAAGTAGTAGATATATAATGATGCATGTTATTTATGTTATAACTATTAAGATTCTAAAATATAAAATATATGGTTGTTCATTTCAGCGTATCTCTTACACCAATCCTTATCCTTATAAGAAGGTGTTTAATCTGAGAAGCAACCGAGATGATTTATTACAGTTTAAGGAGACTAAAATTGAGGTATGTCTAGGTTATAAAGTAAAGTCTTCTACCC